CTATGGGCTACTGCCTTGGAAGGGGCGCTACTTCAAAGCTAAAAACTGGAAGTGAAAGGACCTTTTAAAAAAAAGATGCGGGCCAGCGCCTGGATGGGGCCTGAGTGCAAACATCGCTCGCGCCAGCGGGAGAAAAAGACGAGGAAGCCCCAGGCTTCACTTAGCAGGAGAACAGCCACGCCAGGCCACCCCAGGACCGGGGTGGGCAGGGGCCACTAGCCCCTTGTTACCACTTTGATGATGCTAACACCAACGTACTACTGCTATGTTTATATGTGCTGTTAAGCCGTACCCGACTCAAGGCAACCCTAATAAGGTTTCCAGATACATACAAAAGTGGCTTTACCAGGGCTTTCCCTCTATGAGCTTCCGTGGCCGCTCAAGGGTTAGAACCCAGGGCTGTTGTGTCCTAATTCCTCACTCTGTCGAATACTCAACACTGCCTCTCAGTCATTACACCACAACCCAATTCTGCCTTTCCGAGGTGGGATGGGCTGAGCGGGAAGATCAATAGATGCGCTGCGGTTGAAGAGCAGAGAAGAGAGGGCGCGCCTGGTGAAACCATGCCTTGGCTCTCTGGTGGAAGCGGCGGGGTGGAAACCAGATCCATCCGCCTTGCGAGCCAGGACCCAGCGGGCGCAGATCCAGTGTGCTTCCACGGAATTGGCCTGGAAGGAGGCTGGCGGCAGGAGAAGCAGCCCCTCCTCCGGCTCGCATTATTGAGCTTTTTGCAGCAGGTCGAGAGGCCTTCCAGTGAAAGGCGCCTGGGTTTTTTCCCGGGCCTGCGAGCCAAGGTCACGCCTGGACAATCAAAACAGGATGCCTGGGCACTGAAACCGGAGAGGTAGGAAGGGCAGCCTTTGAAGCCCTTCCGGACTGTTTGGTCGCGGATCCCAAATGCCTGCTTATGGTAGTTAGGAAGCCTCTCCTCATCCTATCCCTGAAACTCCTCTCAGGAGAGGACTCGCCTGCGCCTAACATTGCCTAAGGAATTTCCCACTGACTTGAAGAATATGTCCCAGGGATCTCAACCTTGGGATTGACCCATTGAACTCAGTGGGGTTTCTGTGTTAAACAGAAAGACCCTAAATCCAATTGTTAATTTCAACTAAAGCAGAACCCTCACTATATCAGTTGCTAGACACCCAGATCTCAAGGATTTTTGTCTCCAGAAAAACCATGTAATGAAACAAGAAGGGCAGAGAAGACCAGAGGTCTAATCCTATACAGTACCTGCCTACTCAGAAGTAAGCCCCTCTCGACTTCAGCGGCACTTAAGCCTGAATTAGTGTGGCAAGGCTAAAAACACATCCCAGCTAATTCCATCCTGTCTTCCTGCTACGTGTATCCGCTTCACACACACACACACACACACACACACACACACACACACACACACACACACACACACACACACACACACACACACTTAAATGGCCGTGTCTGCGGTCCTTGTCTTGCACTGTTATATGCCACTAAAGCCTGCTGAAGTTAAAGGGGAAGGTTACGAACAGCCTAGCCCTGCAAAGGCTTGTGTCACTCGATGGGAGCTGAAATCCAGCAACACTTAAAGGGCCACACCTTCCCCAACCCTTTCCCCACTCCCCGTGTAAACCACCAGCAGAAGTCAAAAGGGTCTGTGTTGGCGATCGGAAAAGACAATACAGTATTTCTTTTGAAGATACTTGGTGGGCAACCTGATGGAGCAGTACTTTAATCTAGCTTTCCTGGAAAACCATAGGAGTCTCTCTAGGTGCTGAAATATTAAGCGTTCAAGGGGGCAGCTTAGAGGTATGTTGCCACTCCCTAGCACAGAGAATGGAGACAAGGGCCTTTTTAAAGCGACCCTGTTTTTCTATACGGAAGCATGTCCTTTTAAATTCCGTGGGACTAATCTCTGAATAAACGTACAATCAAACCCGGAAGCCAACACGAGTAAACACAGTGGAACCTCTGAGCAAAGATTTCTCAGATTCGCCGGCCACGCCTCTATGCGTCTACTCAGCTGTCAGGCTCATTACGTTTAGTCAGGTCTACTCCTAGGTAAAATAGCTGCAGGACGGTAGTGGTAACCCTTTCCGTGGACATAGTATAGGTGGCGGGAGCGCTGATTTCAGTGGAAGAAGGATGTATTTTCAGACAACTTAAGGAGGATTCGTTGCCATTTTTTAAGTTCAGGAAAACGTGTGTGTTCAGATCACTTTTCGGAGACAGTTGTAAGCACAAATTCAGAGGGTGTGGTGATTGTTCCGGCTTAACGCCGCGGAAAAGGGCGTGAGCCTTTGTGGCTTGCCTCTGAGTGAAAACCGCCGGTTAGTTCAAGGATTCCTCGTCCATGCCCCCGGGGTTAAAGGAAAGAGCTGAGTAAATATTATTCTGAGGCGCTGGGGTTATATGCTGCTCGGCTCAGATACAATAGCCTACAATTTCTCTGCAGGTGACATAATGTCTTCACCCGAGGGAATGTTGACTCAGCCCGGGCGGTTCGTTGCTGGGGCAAAGGCTGGACCTCGAACCCGTGACGCAGCCCTCCCGGGGACGCCTCCGAGGCAGAGCCCTTCCTTGTGCAACCCGAAGCCGGGCAAGGAACGTTTATTGGTGTGATTCTTGGTGGGTGGCGTGGGAGAGACCGATCTCCGCGTTGCAGTACGAGGAGCAAGAGCAGAAACGGGCTTGAGCAAGGCAGGACAACCCCTCCCTCCCTCCCTCCTTCATCGCGGGGACAGAAATGGCTTCTCGCTGCCAGTGCCTTGACCGAGGCGGCAACTCTTTCTCGAGGGAATCTGGAAAGCCAAGCTAACAAGCGAGGGCTACGTCAAAACAAACATCCTCTCGGCTATTCGGGATCTGGGGCTGCGGGTGGGATAGAGCATTTACCTAATCTGGCCGCCCTTGGGAAGCTGTCCTCGTTCCTTGCTGCCCCAGACTTGAGGCCGCGGAAGTCAACCTCACCGATTGACCCCCAGCCGCTCTGAACCCTTATTTTACATCCCGATCGTAGGAGTGCTCAAGTTCCATTGAGGCTTGCAAGGCAGCTTGCTCCTCATTCGGTTCACGGTGGATCGCCTCCCTCATAGCAGGGCCTGCAACCCGGGCGGAACAGAAGCGTGTCTGCGACAATACAAGGAGACCCAAAGGAAATGTTGTGCGTCTAAGTCACCAACAGGCTAAATTGGCCCCGACGGTCAAAGGAAAAGGCCTCTGAAAGACTCCCTTGCCATCCCTTTTGGCAGCAGGGAATCTCCCTGCCAGAGATTCAAAGGAGCGCCTAGCCGCTCCGAAAAGAGAAATGAGGGGTGAATTTAAAGTCTCTCTCCACTTTCAAACACGAGATGTTCGTAGGCAGGAGGCTCAGCCATTCACTTCTGCATGTGCTTTTCTGGCTGTGTTTTCGCTGCGGGGAAACTGCCATGAAGGAAAAGAGGAGGGAGGCGAGAGCGCACTAGTGTTTAGTTTTCCAAACATAGCCCTTGGTGTGTGTGTGTGTGTGTGTGTGAGAGAGAGAGAGAGAGAGAGAAACAGGGCGGGAGGGAGACTCTCCTTGGTCTCCAAGCGGCAACTTCGCCTCGCTTCAGCTGTTGTAC